AAAGTTCTTGATGCCAGTGCTATAATCTTGGATGTGACTAATGCAAAGCTTGTCGACAATAATGTTGCCCTAAATAAGAGTGGTATCAAAATAGTTGACAAGCGCAGTAGTACATTACAATAATAAAAGTATATTAAATTCTGAAGGTAATGCAATGCAACCGACACTTTCGACGTTAGAAAATAAACTGATATATCATTGAAGGTGCTAGTTCAAAGTGAACATTCATAAAATGTATATCCTTTTGTTGCATATATACGTAATAATGATTTAACAACACATGCACACTAGATGTTTATAATAATAATGTTGAATCATTATTATTTCGTATATATGCAACAAAAGAATATATACTTTATATATGTTTACTTTGAACTGGCACCTTCAATAGTATATGAGTCATTTTTCATGGTAATAAAGTATCCTCACAATATTAGTTATTAATTATAATAATATTTTGTAAATGTAAGCTTATGAAGATACACGTGATTGACAACTGGTTAACTCACACACATGTGTTCCAAACTCTTGAATCAATTATAGTGTTCTAGGTGAGAGATAGAAATAACAGTTTTTTAGATTTCAAAAATGAATCACATAAGATCAGTATTAATTCAAAAGAATTCTTATGTACTCCAAAATCTTGAATCAAATATAGTGTTCTATGTGATCAAAATAACAGTTTTTTATATTTTAAAAATGAATCACAAAAGATTAATATTAATTTCAAAAGAATTCTTATTAAATTGTTTTACCATATTATCTACTTTAACGTAATACATCTTTATTATTGGAAGATAATGAAATGGTAAAAAACCCTAGCATACATAATGAGGTATTCAAGTCAGACGTAAAGTTGGCAACTGTTGGTGTATGTTTACTTTAATGAACCTGGTACCTTCAATAATATGAGTCATTTTTCATGGTATTTCATTATCTTTCAATAATAAAATGTATTACGTTAAAATAGACAATTTGGCATAAGAATTCTTTTAAAATTAGTACTGATCTATTGTGATTTATTTTTTAAATATAAAAAACTGTTATATTTTGATCTCTCACCTAGTTCAAGATTTTAGAGTGTAAGTTAATCAGTTTTCAATCACGTATATCTTCATAAGTATACGTTTACAAATTATTATTCTAATTAATAATTAATATCGTGAGAAAGGATTGTTCTGATTATACCAAAAGAATTTATTACGTTTATTAGCATAGTTGATTATACGTATGTAATATTTTAACATTGGAATAAATACATATTCACTTTCATTGATTTATTTTTCAATAATAAAATGTATTACGTTAAAATATTTTAGAGAACATCAATGTAGACATACTGGAAAAATATCGTCCGGATACCATTACCAAGAAAGAGAAATCATAATAATTTCGGTAAATATCTAGAAAAGGGGAGCCCCCCCCCGATGATCTTGACCTTGACATATGTTGTCAAGGTCATGACCCTGAGTGACCTCCCGCAGGTTTTGGGTGGTGGTCGCTGTCCGTTCAAAAGTTATGATCAAAAAAAGTTTGAAAAATTACGTTTTATTTCTATTGTACAGTGTGACTTCCAAGCGAAGCGATTCTCATCCCACTTTCCTTCATGCTTTGCTTCTCGGTTTATTTTGATTACATTCAATCAATGCAAGGTTACTATTATGCTATATTCACAATCAGTACTGTTTCTCACTTTGTGCTGTCACGATGTTATTTCACGAATTTATCCATCTAACACATTATTTTCGAAATCTTATTGATTATTTGGATGAAAAGAAAGTGATACGTACGAAAACGCAATGTAGCACTGCTTCCTTCATGCTCTGTGACCTCTTGCGCATGCGTTTAGCCACGAAATTTAAAATCATATTAAATAATGAATTAGTTACTCGTATTATTTCAGCTATATGATGTTAAGTACTATTGGTAATTATACAGAATAGCTGCCTCAGCTCAATTATAGAAGTCGTATGTGTAGATACAGTAGGTTCCGCCGCCCTGTGGGGTGCTCCACTACTATTAAAAATAACCTAACCCAACCCATTCAGTGGTGTGAGATAACTCTTGTTTCGCGTAGAAAGTCGAAACCCACGTGCAACAGTACAATCATGGAAGTGTTTTCGCATAGAAAGTCACATGCCTGTACTGTTGTACGTGGGTTTCGACTTTCTACGCGAAACAAGAGCTATCTCACACCACTGAATTGGTTGGGTTAGGTTATTTTTAACAGTCGTGGAACCCCCCGCAGGGGGGCGGAACCTACTGTATCTACACATACGACTTCTATAATTGTACTGTTGCACGTGGGTTTCGACTTTCTACGCGAAACGAGAGCTATTTCACACCACTGAATGTGTTGGATTAGGTTATTCTTAACAGTCGTGGAGCCCCCCGCAGGGGGACGGAACCTACTGTATCTACACATACGACTTCTATAATTGTACTGTTGCACGTGGGTTTCGACTTTCTACGCGAAACGAGAGCTATATCACACCACTGAATGGGTTGGGTTAGGTTATTCTTAACAGTCGTGGAGCCCCCCGCAGGGGGGCGGAACCTACTGTATCTACACATACGACTTCTGTAATTGTACTGTTGCACGTGGGTTTCGACTTTCTACGCGAAACGAGAGCTATATCACACTGTTATGTACTGTTGTACAAACTGAGGGCTGCTGCCCACCATGTTTATCCACGGTACGAGTGCTTCGCGGTACGTGGCCGAGAAATGGATTTTCTCTTCCTTAGGAATGAATTAAAGAGGCCCTTTGTTATTGTTAAGGAACACTTTAATGCGGAGATTACACAGAGAATGCCACTTGTCTGGCAATAAAGGAACTGAGCCTTTTACAAAAACGTCGTGGTACGTATTTATCCAACGACTTGATACAAAGTAATAATGTCCGATCGACAAGACGATCGATGATGATGCGCGAGCGCCCCGATAGCAGCACCTGAACAGGTAAGAACTACAAAAAAACTAGCGCCGCGAACGCGAGCTCCGCGGACAATGTAAACGCGCGAAATTAAGATTATAATTTATCCAACAACGCCGCCCACGTTGAAAGGATGACTTTCAATGAACCGATTACTTATGAATACTAATGCACTTTGAACTTAACATTAATTATAAAACTATTGACAGAAGGAACTTAGTTCGCTTAAACTAATAACTACTGTTGCTTGCTCGAATACAAATATATGCTTAAAGCTAAGAAGGCGTAATATAATCTGTACTGCCGCCCGCGTGCGAGCTTGATACCTCCAAGGGGAGTATCGCGAGTTTTGATAGCGGTCTTACAAAATTTCCTCTGGCGGTCCGGACAGTGGCTACACGTGTGATACCATCTGGCCCAGGGTGAATCTCCTGGATGCGGCCCGTTTCCCATTGCAACGGCGCCAAGTTCTGCTGCTTGACCAATACCAATTGACCTGGTTGTAATTGTAAACCCTTGTTGCTTCTCCACTTCGTCCTTTCCTGCAACGAATGAAGGTATTCGACGCTCCATCTGCGCCAAAAATGTTGACGGATTTGTTCGACTCTCTGCCAGCGAATGAGCCGGTTCTCGTTCAAATCGCTTACGTCTCTGCAAGGAAAACTATTCAGTGGCTCGCCAATGAGAAAATGACCCGGAGTGAGACAACTCAAATCGTTTGGATCCGCACTTAGGGGGGTAATAGGACGCGAGTTTAGAACTGCTTCGATCTCGCAAAGTCTGTAGCTCTTCAAATGTCAAATGAGCTCGACCTACTATACGAGTAAGATGATGCTTAGCCGATTTAACGGCTGCTTCCCAGAGGCCGCCAACGTGAGGCGCATTCGGTGGGATAAAGTTCCACAATATTTCCTGATTGTGTAAAAATTGCTGTATGTCTGATTTCGATTGTTGACTGTTACAAAATTCGTAAAGCTCTTTAAGTTGCCTTCGGACCCCTACAAAAGCGGTTCCGTTGTCGAAATACATCTGAGAGGGCTTTCCCCTTCGCGAAATAAATCTTTTAAAGGCTGCGATAAATGCATCGGTAGTCAAATCACTTACAAATTCAATGTGAACAGCTCTGGTAGCGAAACAAATGAAAATTGAGACGTATGCCTTACGCAATTGAGCATTACGTCTTTTACCGTCTTTAATGAATGCCGGTCCGGCGTAATCTACGCCGCAATGTGAGAATGGCTTGGATGGCGTAACGCGTTCCGCTGGTAATGAGCCCATTACGGCCTCGGACTGACGCGGCCTAGCCCTAAAACATATGCAGTTTTGAATTATTTTACGTGTGGTAGAACGGAGTGATAACGACCAAAACCTCTGTCTGACGCTGGCCATGGTTGCTTGCGCCCCGGAATGTAATGTACGCCTATGTTCTTGTTTTATGATTAACTTGGTAAGCATGTGACCGCGTGGCAGTAATATCGGGTGGCGTGCCTCGTATTCAAGGTTCGACTGACTTAACCTACCTCCCACCCTCAGAAGCCCTTTCTTGTCTAAAAAGGGAGCCAAGAGAAGTAACCTGCTAGGAGAAACGATTGTGCCCCCGGCTTGTAATGCCTTATATTCCTTGTCAAAGGACTGCCTTTGCACGATTCTACATATAACGCTTAGAGCGTGTGACAATTCTGCTGGTGCTACACTAATTGCCGGCGTGCCTGGACACCATGCCTTGAAGAACCTCAGGCAATAAGCTATGATTCTCGAAACTTTGTCGATACGAGAATGTCTATTTATCAACTCACTGACAATGCAGTCGTCTACCGTAGCTACAGTCGAAACTATTTTCCTTTGCTCGGGAATCTCATGTTGTAACCTAACCACGAAACTGTCTGGCCATTGATCGTCATCCCTCTGTAGAAAGGATGGGCCGTGCCACCATTGAGCAGAGTTGATTAATTCATTAGGGTTCAAACCTCGTGAAAGGATGTCGGCGGAATTGTCCGACGAACTGACATGATGCCAATGTTCAATTTCTGTGATTCGCTGCACCTCACCTACTCGATTTGCCACGAAGGTGGACCACCTCCGGGATGGCGAGGTTATCCAATTAAGGGCGATGGTGGAATCAGACCAAAGAAAAACTTTCAAGTGATCTAAAGCCTCTCGAACCTTAGCGATAAGACGTGCCAACAATAACGCTGCGCATAGCTCGAGTCTCGGAAGAGACACCGCCTTAAGGGGAGCAACTCTCGATCTAGAACATAGTAACTCGCTACGATATTCGTGGGGTCCTGTCCTCGTGCGAACATAGATGCAAACCCCATATGCGTTCTGGCTCGCATCGCAGAACCCATGAATTTGCATTGACTGCGTGTCCATGCTGAAATTGACAAAACGTGAAATTCGTAAATGATTTAGTGAATCTAATTGCGCTCTAAATTCAACCCATCGTGTGTGAATGTTGAGAGGGACTGACTCGTCCCATTGAACCTCCGACTGCCAAAGCTCCTGAACGATAAGCTTAGCGATAACAATAACCGGCCCTAGCAAACCTAAGGGGTCATATAATTTAGCTGTGTCCCATATTATATGACGCTTCGTGATTTTGTTAGCGGACGCTTCCTTGCAACAGAAGAAAAAAGCGTCTTCATGACGATCCCATTTGGTGCCTAGGATACAAGATTCAATGTCGCCATGAATGTCAATCGGTTGATCGTTTTGATTATTGATGCCCTCAAGCAATTCCATGTTGTTGGACGCCCATTTGCCGAGCTCAAATCCTCCCTCTTTCAACAATTGAATTACCTCGTCTCGAATAGCCCTCGCCTCCTCGATAGTATTTGCTCCTGTAAGCATATCATCCAGTTATGTAGAAATCACGCATAACGTGCTTCGCGCCTATAGGATATTTCCGTGATAGCTGGCTAGCGAGATAAACAAGACATCTAGTTGCTAGATATAAGGCCGAAGAAGTGCCGTAAGTGAGTGTGAGCAATTCGTACTCCTCGACATTATCCGTGTGATCGTTTCGCCACAGAATTTTTTGTAGACAGGTTTGTAATGGATCCAACAATATCTGACGGTACATCTTAATTATGTCCGCGATTACAACATATTGGAATGTACGAAAACGCATCAATGTGGACGCCAGGTCCTGCTGAACGACCGGCCATCATCAACGTGTCATTGAGTGACAGCCCATTGCTGCCTTTGGATGATGCGTCGAAAACGACTCTAATTTTCGAAGAATTACCGGTGATCTTGAAGACGCAGTGATGAGGCAGGTAAACTGATGGCCATACCTCTTTGCCTGATGGATTCACGAGACGCATGTGACCGAGCGCCATGTACTCATCTAAGAACTGAGAATATGCAACCTTAACCTCCGGCTCGCGCTTGAAACGCCTTTCCAACGTCCTCAGACGATTCAAGGCAATGTTCCGTGAATCACCGATTCTTTGTATCAAATGTTCCTTAATGGGGAGCTGAACTACGAGTCGACCCTGCTGGTTCCGCTGAACGCTGTCGAGAAAACGCCGTTCACATGAGTTCTCCTCCATCGTAAGACTGCTTTCCTGAACTGTTGTTTCATCCATGTCCCAGAATCGTTTTAACTCCGAATGCAACTGTGTATCGGATACTGAGGCATGCAACGAATGTACCCTTGTGGTAGCTTGAGGCGCATTGCTTGTACGCCCAGCGAGTATCCATCCCAGACGCGTTTTTTGCAACGTAGGATGCTTAGAAGAAGCCTTAATCTGACCTACGCACACCATATCCCAAAATATTTCTGCCCCTATTAGTAAATCGATCTCTGAAGATACGTGAAACCGTGGATCCGCTAATTTGATATTGTGCGGAATACTGAAATCGGCTCGTTTAAGTGAAAATGATGATAGCCTTTCGGTAACACTATTTGTAACTATGCAATCAATGTGGGCATTGTAAGAACTGATCCGCGACTGTAGCTTAATTCGGGCTGCTCGAGAGGACGTTGCGGCGGAACCGCCGACTCCTGATATGGAAACATTAAGATGCCGCGGATTTATGTTAAGCGTTACTAGGAATTTCGAGGATATAAAATTTGCTTGCGACCCTGAGCAATGCACGTCAAGGCATGGGTGTGCCCCCTTTGTCGATCACGTATACCAGTGCGGTTGACAGAACGACATTGTTGCCAGCGCTATATTCGGAGGAATGCGTCGCTAGAATTGAAGACGCGTTAATCGACTTTACTTCTTCAGTCTTGCTCACGTTCTTGTCCGTGGCTTCAGCTGTGGGAGAATCTAAATGAAGTAAAGAGTTATGTTTTGCTTGACACATCTTGCAATGTCCCGATGTGCATTTAGCGGCTACATGAGAGTAGTATATATAGGCCGGTTCTAATTCGGGTCCTCTGAGGGGGGGATGAGGGGCGAGGGGAACCCGAGGCGCGGGGGGTCTACGTCATGGCAGGGGAGGGGGATGACGTCACGGATGCGGGTGAGGGGGGGGTATGACGTCACGGGGAGGGGATGACGTCACAAGGCGAGAGGGGTATGACGTCATGGGAGGGGAGGGGAATGACGTCACAGGACTAGGGAATATGATGTCAGAGGGCGAGGGGTATGACGTCGAGGGGTATAACATCACGGGAGGGGGAGGATGACGCAGTAGGGGATGACGGGCAGGAAAATGACGTCACAGTGTGCTGACGCATGGAAGAATTGCGGTGGTCGCCGCGGAGTCAATGACCGCCAGGATCCTCCGGTAAGCTAACGCGCGCGGTCCGTCGGGCGCGGTCCCTCCGGGCGCGGTCTGGCCTCCCCCACCGCAGCTGCCATCGCGCGCGCGGGCCGCCGCGCTGTACCTACCGTGTATCTTCTTATGCGGCTTCCATCTTAAAGATTTTTTTATTTTATATTTATTTTATGCAATAATAATAATTCAATTTATTATTATATTTCATTTATTTTTTGTTGTACTGAATAATTTTCGAGCGCGTATATACTAACGCATGCGAAGACGCTGTTTTTTTATTTTATATTTATTTTATGCAATAATAATAATAATAATTCAATTTATTATTATATTTCATTTATTTTTTGTTGTACTGAATAATTTTCGAGCGTGTATATACTACCGCATGCGATCGCTGTCGCGATAACGCTGTCGCAGCGCGTTATATGATACCGCGCGAAGGATGGATGGATGGAAGGAAAGAATTGAGAGACGTGCTATTTAAATTCAGACAATTATTTATTCGTCATGTTGTGCATGATATACAATATCACCTAAAGCGTACATTATTAATTCGCATTCGATATTAGAATTTCTATCATAAATCTTATGTAAAGCGTTTACCGTTTCAAATTTATTCACAATACAATTTTGACGTAAATAAGTCACGAAATATTTAAATTTATCACTTACACTGTTCGTATATTGACACAAATTGAAATACGCATGATCAACGCATTGTTCGAGTTTGAGCATGAATAGTACAGTCGACGGTTTCATATACATGCACTTGTCACATAAAGATAATTTCACAGTGTTCACATCACGTATTTTGACAAGTTCCATTACAAGGTCTCGAATCATCAACGATGATGATGGTGTAGTCGATTGCACCAATCTTTCTATATCCGCCCGTTTTTCGACGAACGCTGTCCACGTGGCGTGCGGTAGGATGATGCGGTTGCCTCGGGTATCACTAATCGCAATTTCCACGTGAGACATCGATCCTACGGCGATCCCAATCTCAAGAAATTTGTACGCTGTCGGAGTCAACGCAAATGTTCTACCCATGATGTTACGTGCGCTGCAATAAATAATATAAGATATTTTCATAGAATATTTTTATAGATATATAATTTTTACATAGATATATGTGAAATACTTACAGTTCATGCTGAACGTGAGAATCCATGCTGATTGAAATCGTTTGAGTAACTGATGCAGTAACGTTGCACGAACCGCTTTTAAACTGTATCCCCCTCCAACGTTTTTTTTAAAAAATGCAGCGTTTGCAAATATGCAGCTGCTAAGAAAAAATTTTGCACAATACAGATTTTTAGACACGTACGGTGATGAAATTATTAGTGTAATTCGATATTTAAAAATGCAACGTTCGCAAGTTCTGTTTAAGATTTTTGTGCAAAAGACACGTCCGGTGATGAGAGCAGTAATGTAATTTGATACAAATGCGACGTTGCCAAATTGTGCAGTTAAAAGATGCAGTGTTGCCAAATAGATTGATATAAAACGCAAAGATTTAGACGCATAGCGTCATTAGTCAATTAAGCGATATGGAGCTAGATTTAATAGAGCAAGCAGCACAGCTGAATACCAGAGAAGAGTACGTCGCGTGGGAACAGCGATGCGACGAATTTATAGAATCTCTGGAAGAACAGAGTCGGATCAAACGCCCGCGATTATCGATCGGTAATAGACAAGCAGTGATCGCAAGTATCGCGCGGCTCGAGAGTTTGAAGGATTCAGTGCGCGGACGATTCGTATACGTGGGCGCCGGATATGGACTCCGATGGCGCGAGATAGAAACAGCGTTCGAAAGCCGTATTCTAACGGGCGCGGTGATAAACTCTAATCACATCGACCCCCGCCGATTTCTCGAAGACGCGAGTGAAATTGTGCTCGAGCGTGTACAGTGTGTTTTACAGAGATATGACTCTATAAAGATAAATACAGTATTTAATGGTGAATTCGTAGCTGGCGATAAACGCGCGAACAAGAGCATCGCAACCAGAAACTATGAAATACATCGATACACCGATCAGCGCGAGTGGTATGTGTCACGCGTCGTCGAGCCAATCCTGGCATCGCTCGAAGAGTTTCAAGAACGTGATAGTGGATGGGCACTGTCGCGTATATTAAACTTGACTGTTAACGCGAATAAACTAAATCCTCTGCGCGCGGGATGTCATATCAAACTCCCGGAGGAAATTATGCTGAAGAGAGCGGTGATCAACGTGCAATCCAAAGACAATGCTTGTTTTGCATGGTCAGTGGTTGCCGCTCTGCATCCAGCCCAAGAAAATGGTCACAGAGAATCTTCATATCCGCACTACTCATTGGTACTAAATCTCACGGGTATTGAATTCCCGATGACGTTAAGTCAAAGTAAAAAATTTGAAAATCTCAACGACATTTCCATCAACGTTTACGCCATCGAGCAGGGGATCATACCGATACGACTCGCTGACCAAAAGAGGAGCAAGCACGTAAACCTCTTGTACGTGGAGGATGACATCGCGGGTCACTTTGTGCTGATTAAAGACCTGTCACGCCTCGTCAGTTCACAAATCAGTAAAAAGGAGCATAAGAAATACTTCTGCGATAGGTATGTATAATAATTAATAATAATAATAATAATAATAATAATAATAATAATAATAATAATAATAATAATAATAATAATAATAATAATAATAACGGTAATACTAATAATTTTATTTTTTTTTCAGATGCTTACACTATTTTAGCTCGATCTCTAAATTGGAGATTCACAGCGTCGACTGCGGAAAACTCAACGATTGTGCGATAAGGCTGCCGAGCGAGGACGACAAGTGGCTCAAGTTCAAGAACCATTGCAGGAAGGAGCGCGTCCCTTTCGTGGTCTACGCCGATTTGGAGTGCGCACTGGAGAAGATGGATGAAGATCCAACATCATCCATGTATCAACATCATCAGGTTTTTAGTATAGCGTATTACATTCATTGCTCACACGACGATTCACTATCAAGCTATCGTTTTCGCCGCGATAATAATTGCATATCGTGGTTCGCGGATGAATTGAAAAATTTAGCACATAGTGTGCAATCTATAATTTCGACAAATGTTCCCATGGATTTCACGCGAGACGACTGGGAAAAATTTAACAACGCCACGCACTGTCACGTGTGCAAGAAACCGTTCATGAAAGATGATAAGCGGGCACGCGATCACTGCCATCTCACCGGGCGATACAGAGGTCCCGCGCACTCAAATTGTAATTTAAATTATAAGGATTCGCGTTGCATACCCGTAGTCTTTCACAATTTAACAGGTTACGACGCTCATTTCATTATCAAAGAAATTGCCGCCGCATACGAAGGACAGGTAGATTTATTACCGATAACTAAAGAAAAATATATATCTTTTACTAAACACGTTGATGATACTATAGATGATAAAAAAAATTGTATACAACTACGTTTCATAGATTCATATAGATTTCTCGCTTCTAGTTTAGACAAATTAGCATCTTTTCTCAATAAAGACAAGCTGCGGGTATTGCGACGCGAATTTTCACATTTATCGGAAGAAAATTTCAATCTTTTAACTCGAAAAGGTGTCTTTCCGTACGAGTACATTGATTGCAGTGAAAAATTGAATGAATCGTGCTTGCCGCCTCGCGATTCGTTTTACAGTTCATTGACAGACGACACGGTATCCGAGAGCGATTACGCGCACGCTGTCAACGTGTGGCAGCGGTTCTCCATCCAAACGCTCGGTGAATATAGCGACCTGTATCTAAAAACAGATGTATTGTTGTTGGCCGACGTATTTGAAAATTTCCGCGACAGTTGCGTCGCGAGTTACGGGCTCGACCCCGCATATTATTACACCTTGCCTGGCTTCACATGGGATGCCATGTTGAAGCATACGGGTGTAAAATTTGAACTGCTCACAGACATTGACATGGTCATGTTTGTCGAGCGCGGTATACGCGGTGGTCTGAGCCAGTGCTCAAACAGGTACGCGCGAGCCAACAACAAATACATATCGTCGTACGACTCATCGAAACCATCATCGTACCTAATGTACTATGACGTCAACAATCTCTACGGCTGGGCAATGTGTCAACCATTGCCATACGCTGATTTTCGATGGGTCGACGACGTGCAAAATTTCGACTTTTCGACCATCCCGCTAGATTCACCTACAGGCTATATTCTCGAGGTTGACATTGAGTACCCACAACATCTCCACGACGCGCACACTGACCTACCGTTCTGTCCAACGCGAGAGAAACCACCCGGCAAGCGCGATGACAAGCTCCTCGCGACGTTATGCGATAAGCAGCGTTACGTGATTCATTATCGCAACCTGCAGCAGTGTACTCGTCACGGCCTCCGTATCGCAAAGATTCACCGTATATTGCAATTCACGCAATCTCCATGGCTTCGCGATTACATAGAATTAAATACAAAATTTAGAACTTTGGCAAAAAACGATTTTGAGAAAAATTTATACAAACTTATGAATAACGCGGTATTTGGTAAAACCATGGAGAATGTGCGCGATCGCGTTGATGTAAAATTAGTAACAAAATGGGAAGGCAGATACGGTGCCGAAGCAATGATCGCGAAACCCAACTTTCACAGTCGTAGCGTTTTCTCGGAGAATCTGGTCGCGATAGAGCTGCGTAAACTCGAGGTGAAGTTCGACAAACCGATATACGTGGGTATGTGCATCCTCGATATATTGAAAACGTGTTTGTACGAATTTCACCACGAATATATGACACCGTTTCATGAAAAATGTAAAATTATGTATACCGATACTGATAGTCTCATATATCATGTGGAATGTGATGATGTATATGAAATTATAAAACGCGACATAAATAGATTTGACACTAGCGATTACTCTATTGACAACCCGTACAGTATTCCGCTCGCGAATAAAAAAGTTCCAGATCTTATGAAAGACGAGAACAACGGTGCCATCATGACTGAATTCGTCGGGCTTAGAGCGAAAATGTACGCTTTACGTGTGCAAGGAAAGAAGGATACGAAAAAGGCAAAGGGTGTCAAAAGTAACGTTGTGGCAAGATCCATAACGTTTGATGATTACACGCGATGCTTAAACGACGCTATTGAAATGACGCGCAGACAATCGTGCATCAGATCGAAATTGCACGAGGTGTATACAATATCGGAAACAAAAATCGCTCTAAGTCCACACGATGATAAGCGGTATATCATATCAAGTTCCACCGACACGCTGCCATGGGGACATTACCGGTGCAAATAAAACACATATCATATACATACATACATATAACTTGTATAAAATGTATAATATATTTAATATATAATATGTAATATAATTTATAAAG